TTATGCAAAAGTTATAACAAACCACTATGTGATCCAACTGATTTAATAATATTTTTCTTTATTTCCACAAATACTCCTGCAATTTACTTTCTCTTTGTGAAGTAAGATCTGTCTGTAAATCTAATAAATTATGTTTAGCACGTCTCATGAAAACTTGAATATTTTAAGTAAAACGTTTTTCTTTAGAGACTAATTTGACATTTAAAAAAAAATTATGAATAAAAACTGTTCAGAGCTAGGACTGAAACTCAAAAGATAATATTATCAAAAGAACAATTATACTTAGTCCAAGCTGCTAAGGGTTTTAACTTTTGTAAAATACTTCTGCATTTAAATAAACAAAGAAAGCGTAATTCAATTAGAAAGAGCTAACAGAGAAACTAAGACTTCAAGGTGAAAGCTTTTTCTTAACATTCTACTGATCATAATTACAGAAATTATATATGATATTGGAGAGTATCTAAAGAAGTGTTAAAACAATGTGATTGTGGTTTTGACCTATTTAACTTCCGTGATTGTTTTAGACAGATTTTTCCATAAGGCCTTTTATTTTGAAATTCAACATTATGCTTCAAATGTAGACTTTATTCAGTTTTTAAAGTACTTCGGAAAAGAAAGTTTTAATCTTTTCTACGAATGGATTTTAGATTTAATTTCAATATTCCTCCTCAAAAACAAACTAACTAATGAATGACAATTATTTCCCAATTTTCTGTTAAATACTTTAAACTTTAAAAGCCTAGGAATAATCTCACAACTATTCTCTGCATTATCTTAAAATTTCAAGATGAAGACAACATATATTTAATTTTAAATACAACTCCTCAGTGAACATTAAAGGTTTAAGAGTATCAATTCCAAATTTTTCCCTAATATTAACGGCAATAGATTTACGTTTGTGAAATCTAAGTCTTATGATGAAAACGAAAACAAAAGTGAAAAGACTTAACATAATACATATTTAAGTATCAGCAATTAGTAATCATCAGGCAATAACTGTATAACCACTTCCAGCCAACTGCGTTGTTTAATTTTGAGAAGTTTATTTAAAGGTAGAGCAAAAAACAGACATTCTCAGTCGGTGAAATGCGGTTCAAAATAATACATCACTTAGATTTCTGTGATAGAAAATTAAATACTTTTACTAAATTATATTGTACAAAATGAATAGATATGTAAAATTACACATCAAAGTCATTCAACTAAAACGCAAAACCTAAAAGCATGCCTAACTTTAACTTAAAATTACACTAGGTTATTTTAGGTTATAATAATTTGCTCCCTCTTCTAAACAATGAACATTATATGCATATATTAAAATACTGACACGAATATAAATTAAAAGCGGGACTATTGTTTCTCAAATTAGCTAAACCTGAATTAATGCGCAGGCTCCTTAGGGTTAGCAAATGAGTTAAAAGACTGTTCATTCTTGTAAAACTTTTGATGTATGAAAGAACTGGCAAAAGTCCAAACGGTTGCAGTGAGTTGTGGCAATCGGATCATGAACCTAAAGTTTTCGATACAAGCAAAACTGAAGCTGAAATAAGCTTAAGTTTTAGAATAGGCTTTCCTCTAGGGACGATGTAAAAAGTTTCCACGAGCGTAGAATAAAGAACATCATATAGGCTACTAATTCATTAAATTGAAATTCTTTCTTGGCGAATATTAGATTATATATAGAATACAATGGAGTTTCATGATCAAATTTAAGCCTAATAAGTCTTACCACGGGAAAAAAACAAAACAAAAAACAAACAAACAAACAAAAACACAACGTATAAATAACGACTCCAAATCTTAAAGTGCGTTTAAAAATTAGCCTTTCAGATTCAATAACTTTTTATTGTTTTAAATAGTCCCATAAAAATAACAGTAAGTATATATATATATAGTAAATATTTATACGATTTTTCATCAATACAAAGAAACCAGTTTGAACGATTAAACGAAGGGATGTTTGCTTAGACATGAATTATTTGAATATCTCATCTTTTTCAATCATAAATAACATAAGATATATCTTCGACGACAAAGCAGGATATCGCTTTTTGATATTCTATTTATTTTTAACTCCCTATTCTAAGTTACATTTGAGCGTTTTCAATGGACAAATATTACAGAAGAGGTTAATGACTTAAAATACCCAATAAATAAAATTAGTAAAAGCATATTGTTTTGAAAGTGTATGCATATTTACGAAGTATACATTTACCGATTTTATTTTAAAGCTAAGCAAACTTCTATATTCGAACATATTTCTTAACTGCATATGTGCATATTAATTTAGATTCGAGTTCACAAATAGTGACTCGAAAACTCAGTTAATATTTTTTAAACTTTTTAACACCATTAGAATTCTACAAATGTTATTATGATTTTTCATGCTCTATATGCGCTGTGTGATTTCACCATGAACTAAACTTTACTTTGTTATAATGTTTTCAATACTACATTTTTTTTTGTATTTGGCTGATAAAATTTATTGCGGAAGTATATTTTAGTTGTGTTTATACATGAAAGATATACTTAGATATATCTAAAATAATCCTTCATAACCTAAGGCAATATAAAAGTACTTCTTTCTCTTTGCCGGGATTTAGATTTTTAAAGACCTGGTAAAGTCGGGTTCGTTGACCTCTTCCTCCCTCCTATACTATGTTATATGGTTGCTGTAGAATGTATGTGTAGATACAACATGGGGGTCAGTGTAAATCACACTTACTCCGACCCCTTTCAGGACAATGTCCATGTAGGTATCAACAGTTACATTCATGTGTTGTATACACCGTCGCTTATGTTCGATATTACATAGTCCTGTACTTCACGAACAGTTCAGTATTTAACACACACATTTCACCAGTTTTAATCCTAATTTAATAACATTTCACATAAATACCCTTTTAAATTTTTTCAGCTTAGTTTAAACTAATGTAGGTTGTTCAATCTAGTGTTAGGTGGCTTGATTAGCTCTTTATTTCTAAAATATATGTTAAATGGCGAGAGGTCTATTTCCATCACGTATGTAGTAGCGATCAAGTTTGCACAGCAGATCGTTTTTATGCTAGTTTTCCATAAAGTAATTTAGAGAATTATGCAAGACTATCGGCGATAGTTTGCATGTTTGTGTAATTGTGCATGAATTTGGATGATGTGCTACGTGTAATTTATAGGCTGTTGTAAGTAATGAGTTTTGTTTGTAATTTATTTATCTGTTTAGGTGCTATGTGGCACAGCGGTATGTCTGCGGACTTACAACGCTAGAAACCGGGTTTCGATACCCATTGTGTAGCTTTGTGCATAAATTCAAACAATCAAATGTTTATCCATGCTGGGCATGCGTATTCTATGACTGGGCGTATGCATGTTTTGTATATTTTTATAATATTATCTGGTGTGGTTCCATGGTTTTTGCCAGTTAGACTTCTTGCATAATTTGTCGTTAACCCACGTTAATTTAGAATCGTAGGTTAGGTCCTGAAATTTTGCTGAAGTTGTGGTCTGGAGAAGTGTCCCGTTCATACGTACTTTTGTTGGGTTATTTTTATGTCTTGTTTGTTATTAAAATACTATTAGTTAATTTTTGGGGACATTTATTTTTATTCGATATTTTTGACAGTATTTTTCTATGCTCTTTAGTTGTGGCTGAAGATTTGTTGCTGCAACAGATGGAGTGGGGTCACTTTTCCAGACCACAACATCGTCTGCAAATTGTGATGAAAACACTGAGTTTGGGTCTTTAGGGGCATACTGTTTACATATATGATGAATAGAATAGGACTAACTACCCATCCTTGGGGACGCCTGTCTCTGGAGTATAAGATTACGAGTAGGTTATCCTAACATTTATTTTACATTTTCCAAAAAGTTAGATAACCAGCGAATAATTCCACACGGTAGATCCATTTCAGTGATACGGAATCTAAGACCATCGTGCCAGACAGTGCTGAATGCTTTCTCGACATCGAGAAAACATGCGACAGTGCATTCATTTTGGTTGAAACTGTCAATAATGGTTTCTGTTAATCTGACCAAGTGGTCAGTTGTTTGTCTGAATTTTGGATTTCCTGTATTTTTGAGGTTGCTTCTAGATAATTTGAAAGTCTCTTTCCAAATATTTTTCCATAATTTTCCCTACACAGCTGGTCAGACTGATCGGGCGTTAGTTGTTTGGTTTATTTGCTGGTTTTTCTTCTTTATGGAAAATTAGTACAATTGCTTGCTTCCAAGAAACTGGGATATATCCAGAGTTTAGAGATAGGTTAAATAGTGCTGTTAGGTGTTCATACAATCTATGAGGCTTTTTTTTAGGAGGACGACCTGTATGCCGTCTTGTCCTGGTGCTTTGTTTTTAATAGAATATATGACTTTTATAACTCCTATTTCTGTGATTGTTTTTGTGAGTTGATATGCTACCAGGTTTTTATTGGCATCGTTGTTCCTTGATATATTTAGTGTGTCGTCAGGGTTTTGTTTTGTCTGGCATAGTTATTGATTTTGTTGTAGAAGTGTGTGTTCATGTCGGGTTCTTGATGTGTCTTAAATGTGCTTTTGAGGTGTTCTTTAAATAGTTCCACCTTTTCTGAGTTTGAGTATACTATGTTATTTTGTGTTGCTGTTTGGGTTTCCTGTGTTTGTGAATTGTTTCAAGTGTGCCCAGAACTGTTGTGGATCTGTTTTGGCGTTAACTTGGGAGCAGGAGTGATCCCAACTGTCTACAAAAGTACTAAAGGATGAGTGGTTTGTTTGTTGAACTTCGCGCAAAGCTATTCGAGGGCTATCTGCTCTAGCCATTCCCTAATTTTGAAGAGATATAGACTAGAGGGAGGGTAGCTAGTCAACACTACCTTCCTTACCGCTAACTCTTGGGCTGCTCTTTACCAACGAATAGTAAAATTGACCGTCACGTTATATATCTTGTTTGAGGGACTTCGTTTCTTCTTATTAAAATAACTACTTATAAATAAAACAAACAGAAAAAACTATTAAAGTTCACTTACTTAATTGAACCGTTCCTTTCTGAAACTCGCTGTAGTTTCAACACTAGATGTCTCTTTTCATTGCTTTCTTTCATATTTTGGAGTCTAAACGGAGGCAGTTTTGTTGGAGCTACAAAAAATAATTCCAGAGAAAACAAACTTAACTCCAGGATGTACACAATATTCTAATCGTAGAGAAATAGCTGCTTAATATTATAGAGAAGAAAATGTAAGTATCTGCATTCTCTAGAATCTTCTAACGGATATGAATCAAATTAAAATATATTTTTTTATATATTCTGTACTGGAAATCTAGAAAAACAGTGTTAAGTAAATTATTTCATTTCGAATTACCGTAAAGTAACTGATATCAAATGTACTATGTCAAATGTTTGAAACACCTGAAGGCTGTATTGCGTAGGCATACAAATAAGCCATGCTCGGGTATCCTAGGGGGGTTACAACATCAGGGCAATATTTTGTTAAAAAAAATACATATATATTTATTACATTCCAGCTTCGCTAATATAGAAATACTTCTGAAATAAACTATTATATCTGAAGGACTGTGACAATAGGGCTGAAATACTCTATGTATGTCAGACTATATTATCGAACTTAATAAAGTGAATAGGGTAAGCTAGAAATAAATATTACTGGCGTATACCATAGATAAATATCACTAGCGTATATCAGAGATAAATATCACTAGCGTAAACCAGCGATAAATATCATCAGCGTATACCATAGATAAATATCACTAGCATAAACTAGAGAGAGAAATGTCATTAGCGTATACCAGAGATAAATATCATTAGCGTATAACAGATAGGTAGATATCATTAGCGTATACCAAGGATAAACATCACAAGCATAAACCAGAGAGATAAATATCACTAGCATATACCAGAGAGAGAAATATCACTAGCATAAACCAGAGAGATAAATATCACTAGCGTAATCCAGCGATAAATATCATTAGCGTATACCAAAAATAAATATCACTAGCGTTACCAGCGATAAATATCATTAGCGTATATCATAGATACATATCACTAACATACACCAGAAAGATAAATATCATTAGCGTATACCAGAGATGAATATCACAAGCATATACCAGAGAGATAAATATCACTAGCATAAACTAGAGAGATAAATATCACTAGCGTATACCATAGATAAATATCACTAGCATAAACCAGATAGGTAAATATCATTAGCGTATACCAAAGATAAATATCACTAGCGTAAACCAGCGATAAATGTCACTAGTACATACCAGAGATAAATATCACTAGTACATACCAGAGATACATATTATTAGCATATACCAGAGATAAATATCACTAGCGTAAACCAGATAGGTAAATATCATTAGCGTATACCAAAGATAAATATCACTAGTACATACCAGAGATAAATATCACTAACATATATCAAAGATAAGTTTCATTAGCGTATACCAGAGATAAATATCAGTAGCGAATATAAGAGACAAACAACACAGTGTATGCCAGGGATGAATATCACTGCAGTATATCAGTGATAAGTATTACTAGAGTATAGCAGGGATAAATGTCATCAGGGATATATATCACTAGAGTATACTAGAAATAAATATCACTAAAGTATAATAGGGATGAATATTACTGGAATATGCTAATGATAAATATTATAAGAGTATACCAAGGATAAATACCACTAGAGTACATCAGGATTAAATATTATGCAGGATGAGTTGGTTTTCAATCCATTGCAGACACCGATTTGTTGCGTGGAAAAAATTCATTGTATGGTTAATTCCTGCAAGTTTTTATAAGTCTCTCTAATGAATTACCAAGCTCAACATATTATCATAAATTGCCTTCCCTGTGCAAACACTCAATAAATACACCTTGTATTTCACAATCTGACAGTTTTAAATCTTCCGTATATTTCATCAAAAAATAATAAAAAATGGAAATACTGGTGCGAGTTCTATTCATATTAACATTTACATCAGAGTAATTTCCGATGCTCACTTTAATCCGGATAATTTAAGATCACTTCCTACCAGTCATAGAAGTGTAAAATGAGTAGTCTTGTTTGAAATATTTTGTTCCAACGTATTTTTAAACTGACTTTTAATCCTCAAATCTGGTAATAGAGCCAAACGTTTCTTCTCTTTTTTTAATGGTTTCAAAACGATTAATAATAATTATCCAATCTTAATGATGACTGAAATATAAATTGCTAAGCCTGTGTGAAATATTAAAATCTTAATAATTTTAATACAAATAATGTTTAGTATTTCACCAAGATTAGAACTCCTACCAAGAGGGGAGGTGGAGCAAAAGGTCAGTGTAGTGGGAACGCTGAGTGTACCGCATCCAGAACGGTTGTTTGTACACATGCGGACGGTATAGTTAGTATTAGGTTTCACTGCACTCCTGAACTCCAACCTTTCTGGTTTCACTGAGTGTGTCGTTCTGAATCGGTCGACAGCGATTTTTCCATTCGAGTTTTTAAAACGAGATTCGCCTTCTAGAGTAACCTAGAAATAATTACATAAGAAATAAGTATTTCATTCTTTGTCAGAACTGCATAAAAGTCAAATAAACTACCACTTGAGTACGTGGGGTATTTCCGAATGATCTTAAATATCTCAATCTTACTAATATTCTCTTACTTTCAGATAAAAATTATTTGATAAACAACCGTATAAAAATATTTGATCAAAATATCAAAGGTACTTTATACTAATATAAAAATATTTTATCAAAATATCATAGGTGCTTTTTACGAGTTTAGAAATATTTGATCAAAATATCAAGGATACTTTGTACGAGTATTACTTTTATAATGTGTTTTGAAACTAACTCGATATAAAACAAATACTGTACACTACGCTTTTGAAACTTAACACCACAGCTGTAAGAGTATTTTACACGGTAAAGAAAAATGAAGAAACCTGAATTGAAGACAAAACAAGCTAAAACAGATCTACGGTTCACCGCAGATTAAATTTATAAACCTTGTCATACCAGGTTGTAGTTCTGCTATACAAACCTATAGAGGGCTTTCTTGCAGAACGCTTCAAGCGAATAACAGACATGATTTAATCAACAGTAGTAGACTGTTTACATTATTTAAAATTTGTTTTATACCAAAAAGTCAACTTGAAGAGCAGTTCATAAAAAATTTAATTTGTCTAGTAGCAAAGTTTAATTTTGGTGAGTACATCAATATGTATTACAGATTGGTTTCTCGATGTCTTAGTACACTTTATTTTTCCTATATTCACTGAGTAACACAAACGAACTATTTCAATAACCGTAAATTGCTGACAGTAATTAAATTTGGTTAAATTACTATAGTTAAAAAATTGGAATAATTACTTTTCATATTTAATTTGAATGTAACATTGTCAGACGATGTCCTAGAAACCGCATTTGTTTAATTAATAGATTAGCTCAAATACAGCGTACATCTATCTATAAGGAATAGTTGAATCATGAATAAGATAAGGCTATTTGTTAGTTTGTCTTGATAAGTCTAAAGAATAACTTGATTGTTGCCAATTTTGAAAAAAAGGCAAACATCAATAAGAATTAACCTATTAATATGATTTTGAAATCGGCGCTAAGATATAATTTAGGTAGGAATAAACAACATTAATTTCGGCTGTTTTATTTTTCTATTTAATTTACGAATTTGTTAACTTTATAGTTGCCCCCCAGTGGAACAGCGGAATGTCTGAGGGCTTACAACGCTGGAAATCGGGTTTCGATACCTGTGGTGGCAGAGCTCAGATAGCCCATTGTGCAGCTTTGGGCTTAACTTCAAATAAACAAACAATCAAACAATAAAAAAGTTTTAGTTTTCAAATTTCTGGCTTTTAAGAAAGGACACGTACATCAAAATGATTTTTTTGACTCGCTCCAAAAATTATATAAGTAACTACTAAATATATTGAGAAATGTTTTGTGGCCTTATTAACTTTTACTACATGAAGCTTTATGTGATATTCAGAAGTTGAGTGTACTTTACTTCTTTCATTTAAACAGAAGAATATTTTAATTGTTATATTAGAATAACTCACAGCAACACGGAAAAGAGTGCTCTAGATCAAATTATATTGTTATGTCTTTTATTGCACCGCTTGTGTTGGAGAATATTTTCATTGCGTACTGGAGTTAAATTCCTATAGGCAATCTTGTATTTCCCTTCAGTTCCGTGGGAAAACACTAGACAGAAACTGTTGGCAGAATGACCAAGAACCTATGCTTACTTACATTGTATGATTCTATTATTCCTCTGGCTTTTATTGGCGGTTCCCAAGTCACACTGACGTAATTGCGTTTATTTTTGGAATCGAAACTACACTTAGCTTCAACGTGTTCTGGTGGGTCCGCCACTGTGGAAAGGATATTACACTAGTTAGTTATTATGAACTACTGGAGCAAAAACCATTTTTAGTGAGTAGCGACAAGAAAAAACAAAATTTTGTTTAGAGATTATAGGCTTGCGGTAAGAGAAAGTTGTAAAGTTTTTATGCTAAACCAAAAAAAAAATAAAAAACAACAAAAAATACTGGTGATATTAAATATTAGATGTTAAAGAAAATGTCTATCTCATTTCGTAATACCCTAAAGTTATTACACAGTGAAAATGGTTTTCACAGATACTGAGAGAATATGAATGTGCTTATGCACAATTATTTATTCGACCATTGTATTTGCAACCCCACAGAAAAAAAAAAGAGTTTAAGAAAAAATGTTATTTCACTGTTTATTGAACAAAGTTTTACTTTTTCCCTAACCAGTGTCATTAGCTCATTGTTATTAAACAGCAATATATGAAGCATTCTTTTCTCGACTCCCAGACTTCATCTATCGACACATTTAAAGTTTGATACCACACTTGTAAAAATATCTATTCCTTTGAAAAAACTAAGGATTGGAAGTCAAAATAATTCTGGTTCTCAGGTTGCAATGATTACGAAACTTATCTCGACGAATTACCTCTTACATTTGCTAACTATGTATTTCACGTAAGCTCACTATATCAAATACAACAATAAATACTGTTAGATAGGTTAGGAAATTGCTTATTAGCATTCAATATGTCTATTTACACTCAGAAAAGTACAATTGTGGTTTTTCAAAGAGATATTCGATGACTAAGTAGTGATATAATTGTTCCATGTAAAAAAAACAACATTTTCAAAAACTTTATATTGACTTACCACTTATAAAAGACGTGAGAAAAATATAGTGAGTTTTATCAGTTAATGTAAACAAGATATTTGAAATTTTTACTTAGAACAAATATAAACAAATACAAGAGCATAACTGGTATACATTGACTAATAACTTATGAGATAACGTAAAGAATACGTAAACACTCCTCACTTTCAAGAGCAGCAAAAGCAACATACACTGAGTTTTTTACTAACAAGACAGATAAGTGCATGCATTGGCTGCTTAGTTATAAGAGAGGTAACTAATATTTGTTTATTTTCACTTAAACCACATGCAATCAATATGTAGTAACGTTTACTAAACAAGATGTAAATAAATATACATTGAATTCTTTCTTACGACGCATGTTATTCATGTGTAGTGATATTTCCTCCCCAATATGTAAACAATATATATTGACTTCTTTCTTATAACCCTCGTAGTCAATATGTAGTGGCATTTTTTACACAAGATGTAAACAATACATATTAAGTTTTTCCTTACAACATATGCAGCGACTTTTCTTCCTCATGATGTAAACAATACATATTGACTTCTGATACGTGTGTAACGGTAAAAAACATTTAATTCTTGAACGTTTCGGTACAAAAATTTCTAAGTTTCTAAAGTTCCAACATTTTGTAAACAGGAATTAAAATAGAGTAAAAGGATAAAATTAATTGAAAAAGGAATAGAATAGTGCTACAATTATAACAATATTATGTTTTTATGCGAAATTATACAAGTTATTCAAAACAGACTTAATTATAGTAAAGTTGTGTTATTATTTAAAGTTGGGAGCTCATACATAATAGATAGACTTTTTAAATTAAAAGTTCAGTGCTTGATGAACCAGATGAGATGACTTTGAATTTTTTAATCGAGATTAGGTGGTTGCTATTTTCACTATGTATGCAAGTTGCGTAGTTTGGAGAATTTGATAGTTGATACTTCCATATGTTCGCAGGTGTAACTGGCGTATTGTTTTTTTAAATTAAGTAGCATCACAGCCACTAAATACGTATTAGTACACAATCCGGGAACGCATAACAGTAGGTAATAGACCCGAATAGATTTTGAATATTGAACTCCCAAAATAATAACACAATTTCATTAAAATAAAACCTGCTTTAATTTCACAAAAAAACAACAACAAAAAAACCGTCATATTGTTACAATTGTAGCACTACTCTATTCCTTTTTTAAAATTAATTTAATCCGTTTATTTTCTATTTTAATTCCTGTTTACGAGATGTTGGAGTCCCTCGGTGGGACAGCGATAAGTCTTTGGATTTACAATGCTAAAATCAGGGGGTTCAATTCCCCTCGGTGGACACAGCAGATAGCCCGATGTGGTTTTGCTATAAGAAAACACTCACACAAAATGTTGGAACTTTAGAAATTTTTACACCAAATATTTTATCTTGTTTAATATAGGTTGCTGAAGATGGAATATGTATATTTCGAAACGTTCAATAATTAAATGTTTGTTACCGTCACACACCTATCAAATGTTTGTTGCTGTTGTACTATTATTCATCATTAAACTTCGATTCCCGTCGAATAAATATATTGACTTCTTTTTTAAAATACCTGTAATCAGTATGTTGTGACGTTTCATCCATAAGATATAAACAATACATATTGACTTCTTTTTAAAATACATGTAATCAGTATGTTGTGACGTTTCATCCATAAGATATAAACAATACATATTGACTTCTTTTTAAAATACATGTAATCAGTATGTTGTGACGTTTCATCCATAAGATATAAACAATACATATTGACTTCTTTCTTACAGTACATGTAATCAATATATAGTGACGTTTCCTCCTCAAGAAGTAAACAGTTCACATTTATGTCTCTGCAGAGAGACATTCCGTTTTTCTATTGTTTTTTCTTCTTCCAAACACCTTTCAATCGATCACCATTCCTTCATTTCTCGGCAGATTGACAGAAACTTAGTAGGGTTATATCTTGGTCTAATACGCCCAGATAACTTTTTTTTCTCTTTTTGATTTTGGCCTTTTTAAGGATTTTATGGAATCAAAAATCAAACAAGCCAAAAATGTATATTTTGGGCTCCTGTGCGGTCATATTTACAGCAATTAAGATGAAAATTCGCACAAATATAAATTTTAATGCGCCCAACACACTGGCATACACAAAAGTTGAATTTGCCCGTTTTAAGTCTTTTTAAGAGTCAGAGCTCCAAAAAAAAGCATATTTTTGGAGTGTTGGGCCAATTACTTAGCATTGTTTCGACCAATTTAAATGGAATATTGTACAGAAATAGTTTTCTACAAAGACACTGGCAAACTAAAATGTTGAAATTTAAACTTACTGCCGTCGGAGGTCTTCTCTTCAACTAAATTCGACCAGTTTCCACATCCAATTGAATTACATGCTTTAACCTAAAAGTAACCAGTGAATAATAATAATTAAAATCACATCTGAAAATATAAATAAGTATTAAAATATTGTCATATGCATTAAATAATGTGCAAAAAATCCTTTTAAAGTATATCTAATCCATTAAGAATCCAAATATAAAACATAATAATAATGACACACTTTCAGGTTCTAAACTAACAGATTAGACAAAGATAATAGTTGGTATTCAACATTAAATATTCAGCCACTATATTTGTAAATGCCCTAAATAATGTTTAGGACAATTTCTTGTGGAGACATGGAACACTTATGTGCAATGTAATTTTCAAATAATTACAAAAAATATACCCATTAAAAAGCAAATAGTTTTGATTTAGAGTGATTGATAATTTGTTCACAATACGTTCTGGTGTGATGAAAGATTTTTTTGATTTTATTTACATTAAATCATGGATGGTCAAGTGTTCTTTTTTTCAGCATTGAAACATGGTAGAAACATATCTTTTTGGTAGGAAAACGTTTGTTTTGGATATTTGAAAAAAGCTGCACATGGGCCATCTACGATAGCTGCCTCCGCTTTTGAATGAATAGACTAGAAGGAAGGCAGTTATTCAAGACCATCCACTACCAACTCTTGGTCTACTCTAATCGAATAACTTGGTTTTACCTTTACTCTTACAACAGTAACTCATGAAAGAAACTAGTTTTATTTTTTACTACAGTAAATCACAGACAGAAACAATATATTCTTCATTAGCAAATCACAGAGATTTTTTTTAACTAGTGAAACCTAAAGAGGTTTGGTTTGTTCCGGACACTTGCGCAAAGGTACACAGTTGCTGTCTGTACTAGCTGTCCCCAATTTTGAAATGATAAGACTAGATGGAAGCAGCTAGTCAAAACCACTCTCCGCTATTTCATGTGTACTTTAATTAAGCACAATTATTTTCGGTAATAGGATGCGAATTGTGGATCTATAATTCAGCATTCTAACAAATATGCCAAGCCAAACCATGAAATGTTTCTTTATAATCGAAAAGCACTGAGAGAAACATTCATGTTGAGTACTGAGACATGGGGTGAACATGGTTATTTCAGCAGTGGAGAGAAAATATTTCTTTCAACAGTGAAGTATAGGGACAAAAAACACAAAGACATTTTTTTCAGGAGTGGAGCATAGAGAACTATTGTCTTAGCAGTAAAAAAATGGAGAAAAACTTTTATTTTCAGCAATAGAGAATAAATGGAAAAATTATTTTTTCTTAGCAGTGAAGAATGATGAGAAATATGATTTTGTAACATTTTCAGCAATACTTCTCTGTTCAAAACATGATTTTTGTAATATTTTCTGCAATAAAGAATAAATACTTTTCTGTTCAAAACATGACTTTTGTAATATTTGCAATAATAAAGAGTAAATACTTCTCTGTTCAAAACATGACTTTTGTAATATTTAATAATAAAGAGTAAATACTTTTCTGTTCAAAACATGATTTTTTATATTTTCGGCAATAAAGAACAACTACTTCTCTGTCCAAAACATGATTTTTGTAACATTTGTGTCAATAAAGAGTAAATACTTCTTTCAAAACATGACAGATAGAAGTTTTATTGGTTTTAGGATCTGTAGTATATGAGCTTGTATATGACTACTTGGAATTACACTATAAGACAAGTTTTTAAAATTGATATAAAATTATTATACTTTCAGAAAAATGAAGCAGTCATATGTATTTAGTTCAGGATTAATTGTGAGTTACCAATAACCAAAAAAAAAAAGGAAAACAACAACAACTAAACTAACAAACTTGAGAGACATAAAAAAGTTTAAGCGCTATAAAACATATTACAAAGTTTTTCTTTCAGAAATCGTGACTTAATCTTGCAAATTTATGTTGATCTTTATATAGATAAACATTTCACACATTTGCGGTTATTTTAACCTAATCAGTAGCTTATATAAAACTTTCATTGGATCAAACTTAAATGTTTTGTTCAACAGTTTTAATCAAAATACGATTGTTGCCATTTCTGTTCTATTCGCACGTTGTTGATAAAATAAACTAATGAATTATTTAATAAGATGTTTCCCCAACAAAATAATCCTTAAACGGATAATTCAATAGTTTTAAATGTAATTACATTCTGTATATTTTTACTTGTTTATATAATATTTCCTTCTTGTAATTTTTCTGTGTATGTTCTGTATTTATATCTGTAATTCAAAAATTCTAAAGAAAAAACACAAAACAACAACATGATGACAGATGAGAAAACGAAAGAGCAAACGTTCTGTCAAAACTTTTATAAAAGTGAGCCAAGCTGATTCTGGGCTTATGAAAACGCTACGTTTTTTAAATATATTACTGCCTGATTGTAACTCGGCCTTTCTGAACTATTACACCATGCAGCTGACAGATTGCACATTGATTATTTGAAAAATACTGATTCAACAATAAATCCTTCTTTTCCTTTATCTTACGATAACGTTTACGAAGAAAATCCGTATAAACAACAACAAAATAGGATGCACAATTCGATCATATTTTCAGAACATTATGCGAAACTGAAAACTGCTGAACTTGAAAATCTGCTAATCTTCTTCGACCTAAGCACCGGAACTCTTACATGTTTAAATTGAAAATGACATTGAATTTTTGAATCTAGTCGATGGAAACAAACACATTTTTTCATTATAACCCTGAATCGTTCCCAATACGCTGATCCTGAAATTTGATTAATAAAATATAAGACCATTCATTATGCAGTTTTGTGCCTCCATTCCATAGGTCTGATTCAGGTTTCCTTATGGCAAGAAGTTAACAAAAAAAGTAACTTATTACCATGAGCGACGGAAAATGTGATCAAGAATACCATTCAAAAGACATTACGAAATCATTAGTTTGTCAGAGAGACATATTTCCATTCGAGTTGGAAAGCAGACAGTTTTATTAATTTATTAACACGCCATGTTTTCATTTAGATATGAGTAGTACATTTACTAAACACATTAAACAAAATAATATATAAAAACATATATAAAACCAGTAAGATTAAAACATGTCAATAGAAATATGATTTAACATTTGAGTTATTTTCTATAGTTACTGAAGTGTTCTCACCAAGTAAAGTTAGTACGAACAGAGAAGGTTAACAATTTATATCTAACTAGAAAGGCACTCAGAGAGTGCAATCTCACTCTGTTCAATTTCTCACCTTCAATGTAGGTGTAGGTGCAAAAATCATCTTTTTATTTCAATTTTCTCTCGAGTTTTGATCGTTTTCGAAATCCCAATTTGGAATCACTATAATGAAAATGATTGATCTTCTGTGCTACCTTAATCTTTCATTTACATTCATTAAAAGTAAACTGATTGTGTTTTTTTTTGGGGGGGGGGAACATAACTTCTGTAATAAATTTGATCAAAATCCGATGAAAACTTTTCGAGTTGTTGTGTTCCCACACACACATACAGAAGAAAGAACAATACTTTCCCAGTCCGTCGGGAGTAATAAAACTCCGAATTACAAGGATGATCTAGCTACTTGTACAAGTTAGAGATAATTGGCTATCTTCATAAAACAAACCATCAAGTTGCACGTGTATCCTAATAGTGATCATAAGGTTAAACATTTTTTTTTTGTCAGATGGAGGCATTCCATTTGCGGTACATAATTCTGTTGACTCTAGAGGTACAATGAGGAACGAACGTTACCAGAAGAGAAAATAAACAATAGTAGTCAAGCAGTTATCAACTTCTCACTAGTGGTTGTTGTACGTGGAGGAATTGAGGCTGATTATTGGTTGACGGAAACACGTTCTAACTAGTACACTTAGAGTTTTTAGGGAGAATTAGCTTCTTAAAATAATAATAACGTTTAATTAACTCTTCTTGTTTCCTTAGCATAAAACGTTATCTTGAAGGATTGATTGCTGTTAGATTTTAAATGAGTTGTATTTGAAATAACTTTGAGATATGAAAAAAGTAATTCATAATTTCCAACCTGCCATTTCCAGAAAACATGTAACGTAGTGATACGAAGAACAAATTTAGAAAGTTGTCATTCATAATCAAACAAACTGGCAGACGAAAAACAACTCCTCTTGGATATATAACGAAGGGATCAAAATTTGACCATGGAGGATTTGTTTAGTTTTCTTTAAACCACCAATACTACTATACCCACAACTGTAAGCTTGGCGATAGTTTGTGACTTTTATGGAATTTACAGAAATATGAACATGGTGTTCTTTTATTAACGTTAGTAAGTAGAATTATAAGTTCCAAAACGACATCGACTGTTTTGGCATTGTTGTTTTAAGTTGTAGAATAGTAAAGTGTGCTGGCCTTGGGAGATAGACACAAGAGGTAAGAGCACACCTTAACGTTACTTATAATTGTAGACTCTCACTGAAGTTAAAAAATAAACCAAGAGATGATAACAACTAAAATATTAACAAGCTGAATGATTAACAATAACCAAGGCATCAAATTAAAAAATTAGATAATGAATATTTAAGTTGAAGACTGGATAACCAGCAGGTTAGCAACAACAACAACAACAAAATATTTAAAGACTGGGGGTTCTTCTCTTTGTAATGAGGTAATATTATTTCTTTTTTTAAACAATGATGGAATAAAACAAATAAATAAATCGAAACAGGTTTAGAAAAATAAATATATATATATATATATATATATATATATA